TGAAAACTGACAAGAACGCAAAGGAGTCCACTCTTCTTACTAGTTATCGATAGATGCCTGTAAATACTAGAGTTCCCCTTGCTTTGGCCTGTATGCAGATTCGTTTTCAGCCAGATCCGCTGTCTATTGCTACTTCTCCTAGTTCGATCTTCAGGGGGAGAGGGAACGAGAAAAGAATAAAACAAATACAAAGAGGCCACCATGATTCAACAATTGAGCCCAGTCCCAGCTCTTCCCAAACCCTTTGGGCCACACAAAGTTGGCACCACAGAATGGGAGATTCCTGTCTCTGAGATCCCGTCGCCATCGCCAATTCCAGAGCCTCAAATCACCACCATAAAGTTTCGACTGTTTTATCCTACAACGCCAAATGCAAAGTCGAAGACTTCTGTTCCCTGGCTCCCAACACCACAAAGAGAATGGAATCAGGCTTATGCATCTTTCCTGGGCGCGAGTCCCCGTGTCTCGTCCCTGATCTCTCTCATACCTTTCCTGATTAATATAACCAATATCCCAGCGGTAGCTGATGCGCCTCTGTTGCAGAAGGACACGTCGTCCAAGTATCCCTTGGTGGTCTTCTCGCATGGGCTAGGAGGAAATTTCAATGCCTACAGCGCAGTATGCGCAGCGCTGGCCAGTTTTGGGATTGTGTGCGCAGCCCCCGAGCATCGCGATGGCAGCGCCCCTATTTCACCCATACGCTCAGCTGACGGCCGCAAATCCACCGCAATCCCGTATCAAAGGCACCCTCATGCTCCCACCACCAAGGTCCTTAACGCTCGCAATGCTCAGCTGAGGATACGGTTGTGGGAGTTGGAGCACTTGTTCACTGTCTTGGGAAGTTTTAATGAAGGCAAGACTTTCTCCAACTACGCTGCAGTGCGGAGCAAATCGAAGTCAAGCCTGGCGTTGAAAGACGCGCTCGACCTACGACCTGGCCATGTAACATGGGCAGGCCACTCCTTTGGTGCCTGTACCATGGTCCAATTCGTGAAATCAGTTTATTATCACGAATTCCTACCCTCACTCAAAGGTACCGAGTTCGAAAATGACCTGGACTGGCGTCCTCTCTACAAGCCCGCGGATAATAGCGAGCTAGTTAGGCAGATCACGCCAGACTCACCCGTCATTTTGCTCGACCTATGGGCCATGCCTCTACGCGCCGGCCTGACAAAATGGCTCTGGGAAAAGCCTCTGCCATGTTACCACCGCAGATCGGCCGACGGCGAACGCCACCCGCCTACTAATGTCGTGGCCATCATCTCTTCCGAATTCTACAAGTGGCCTGAGTTGCTGAACCGAATGAAGGCCGCACTGTCTGCGAGTCCCGCCGAGGCCATGTACACCCTCGAGAAACGAGAAGCTGCTCGGTCTGCCAAGCCTCAGCAGCAGTCGGAATCGCAGCTGCTGGCAACGCCTGGGGACAAGCTTGCGCCTGATGTGCGTGAGACCGAGGTCACTTCACGTCGAGGTTTCGAGGTCAATCGGGCTGCAGATCTAGACTCGGATGATGGGGATGAGCTCTTTGTGACACCTTTCGCTACACCTGGGGACGAATTTTCGCTTGACAAGATCATGACCAACAGACGTAGCGAGGTGGGATCATGGAGAGGAGGAGGGTCGGAGGCCCCAGACGTTGACCTAGACGTGGAAAGAGATATCAATGAACAATCATTGAGAGAGGCGATCAGGGTGCCACTGCCGGATTCAGAGCCAGAGGACGAAGACGAAGACGTCCCTGGGAGCATCGAGCTGGATTACCCCCAATTGGACCAAGAGGTAGAGGCAGACTCAGACAGCACCTCTCCCTCCAGGTCGTCTACCTCTAGCAAGCCCACTCCTTCTTCAGCCTCGCCGTCAGATTCTGTTTCCTCGCTATCAACGCCCGCCTCATCAATCCAGTTAAGCCGCACCTCTTCCCCCTCCCCCACTTGCGAAAGTGTTTCTAGCACAACCTCAGCCTCCGACAGCGAGGTCAAGGCCTCAGTTAGCTCCCCCGGCGCAGCTGAAGAAGAGAGCGACAAGATCGACCTCTCCTTCGCCCCCTTCTCCCTGCTGCCACTGGATCTCCCAAAACTGTCCGTCGTTCCGAACCCCAACACGCCTTCTCCCTCAGATCCACACCTCTACCTAATTCCCAACACCGCGCACTTGTCACAGTCTGATTTCGGCGTGCTCTTCCCCAACCTGACGAGGTATCTCATGAACGCCGAATCGCCCGTTGAGACAATCAGACTGAACGTCCGGGCGATGTTGGCCGTCATGAGAAACATGGGTCTAGACGTTGAGGCGTACCGCGACGACTGTGTTCGCGAAAAGAAAAAGACCCAAGCCCGCGATCGGCGAGGAACGAACGACGATTCTGACTTCGATGAGATCTCCGGAGTGGATCCGATTCTCACGGAGCGGTGCAACGAGGAGAGATTCCTGAGGGTCGATATATATTGATCTGATTCATGTCTCCTCATCTTATGTTTCTGTCTCGTGAGAACGGATAACAGCACTCCTATGCGGGGCTAGGTTCTGCCTTTACAATTTGCTTCTGGTTTATTTGTGAACCGAACATGCGGAGTAGTGCTGGGTCAGGATGTTTCAGGAAGAAAATGGGAGGATTACAAATGACGACAACAGGAGTGTGGCTTGGATTTCCCTTGAATCTTTCTTTTCACAGCTTGCCCCTTTTTGTCTGTGTTGGTATATGATGCGACTTTTCATGCCTTGGTTTCTGGCTTGCTTACTTGATGGGATACGGGAGTATGTATGGCACACGGAACTCTGAATATGATGGGGGAGGGAAGGCCTTATGCAATTACGATTTGGCGCGAGATGGGTGCATGGGCTTGGATTTCTTCGCAGCCGCCATTTTCCATTTACTTGTTTTCCTTTTGACACATGGAAATTTGTGCATGGCTTGGATTTGGCTAGCGGCACCTTTCTGCTCCTTGATCATGTCTTTTGAGCACAGCGGATTTTGGGGGGTGATACAGGGCAGTCCATGGAGCGGAAATCTAGCGACCAGCGTCCCTGAGGGAAAATCAGATTATTATCTTCCTTCTAGAAAACATCGGGGTATGGTTCCTGTTATATATCAATTCGTGTCGGCATATAACTCAAAACTCGTCCATCCTCGTTCCCAAACGTCGTTCAAGTAAAGTTAAGAGTTAGTCTCGATTGAAGCAGTGATCTTTCTCATCTCGCTATGCTAAAGCTAGTCTAAAAAAGCTAAGAGCAGTCACCCAAGATGATTTATTGCAAGGGTCATTCGTTTCGCATGGGGGAGGGTAAAGGTCGGGTACTCTTTCGCTCTTGAGGCCCTTTACCACATGCCAAGCGTGTTGAAATCAAATCCCTCAACACTCCCACACTTGTTCTCATCCGGAGCCACGTCCATCACGTCTGAAGCTCCACCAGAGATGCCTGACACGCCGCCACTAACCCGTCCCCTGTCATTCTAATCATGTGATGGCAACAGCACGACCTTCTTTCTGTCGTCTCGCTAGACCATTCCTTGACCATTGATACCCTTCGAGTGAGAACATCACAGCCCAGGCGCAGAGCATTGGCTGTCATCATTTACAAGTCAGGGTCCTCCTCATCTGGAAGAGGCATTGCCGCAGCCTCAGTCATCTCCTTGTGATACTGGTCGAGCTGTGCCTGGTCGATCTGGACTTCAGGAGGCGCAAGAGCCGGAGCAGCCACGAACTCGAGTTGAGGGTTGCCGACCAGTTTTCGTGCGAGCCAGAGGAAGGGTTTTTCGAAGTTGTAATTGGATTTGGCCGAAATGTCGTAATATTGGAGGTTTTTCTTGCGGTGGAATGTGATAGTCTTGGCCTTGACTTTGCGTTCCTTCACATCGACTTTGTTACCGCAGAGAACGATGGGAATGTTTTCGCAGACGCGCACGAGATCACCTGCGATATTTGGTCAGATCAAATCCTCTTTTAATCATATTGCCCAAGGTGCTATTGACGTACGGTGCCAGTTGGGGACGTTCTTGTATGTGATCCGGGAAGTGACATCGAACATGATGATGCCGCATTGTCCGTTGATGTAGTAACCGTCACGAAGACCGCCAAACTTCTCTTGACCTGCGGTGTCCCACACATCGAATTGGATCGGCCCGAGGTTCTGATTCGCGGTTAGAATTATCTGCGCTTTGAGCGTCTGGTTAACGTACGGTTGAGAATCCCAGAGGATGGACTTCGACACCAAGTGTGGCGATGTATTTCTTTTCGAACTCTCCCGTCAGATGGCGCTTGACGAATGTAGTCTATGATAACCATTAGCATTGTTGATTTCAAACACTGCCTTGTCTAGCTGCGCCAACGAGCAGAAGAAGGCTCTGATTGCAGTTGAGCTCACCTTTCCAGTACCGCCATCGCCCACCAAGACGAGCTTGAAGGTTGGCACGGCCGTAGCAGCTTCCGCCATTGTGATTGTGGTTTTGTTGAGATCTCTGATATCAACTCAGGAAGGGGAGGTCAACAAGAAATGTTGCGATTGCGAGAGTACCACAGCCTTGATAGCGGTGGTGTCTCAAAGAGAGGTGGTAAGAAAGATGACGAGAAGGCGGTTTGATGATATCTTGAAGAAAGTGAAAGCAGGCGCAAGTCAAAGGCGGTGGTTTGTTTTCAAGACTAGCGCTTGGCATATCCCAGCGGCGTCACTGGGGATTTTGCATCATGGCAAAGCACGTGACTACAACAGGGATACTTGCATATTTCAGTGGTAGTGGCGGCATTAGGTTGGGTGCGCACTTTTGGGCGCTTACGATGCTATCAAATCCATTTTATTCGTCAGACCTATCATTATTTTTGTTACAAAAATGAACGGAGCATGCCCAAGCACAAGTAGTCTTTGATCAGGATCCTTCGTGTCGTCTGTGTCTGTCGTGCCGAAAATGGCACAAGCAATGACCATAGCAGCTGCAGCGTCCATTTAGCACCACAATCCTGAATGGATCCTCTCATGGGTGTCTCATCATGTCATGAGCTTGGACTTCATACGGGAACAATGTGACATCCCAGCGTCCCTCTTCCACCCCAATTCTGTCTGGGAGTCAACCTCAGGTCCAGCTCTTGCGCGTCTTGTCCCATACCACGGGAAACCCGAACCAAGATCGGTCGACCCAAGTTTTGACTTACAACTTCCCCAACTTTGCGTAATCTTTCATGGTTTGACCATATTGCGGTCCCAAATCTTCTTATCAGATCGCCAGACTTTAGACCAGCTTCATGTGCAGGACTCCCGGGCTCAATGCTGTTCACCTTTGCAAATGGGGTCTCGGGGGCGGAAGGTGTCTGTTCGGATGCAGGAGAGGGCGCTGGTCGGGATTGAGGTTGATTCAGTGAGTTCTTGTATTCGTCCGAGGCTTGGTATTTGGCATGATGTTCGTGAAGACCCTTCTCGATTTTGTCCATCAGAGCTTTCCAGTCGTTGCGGAGCACAACAATCCGAGCTCTTGTAACTCGTACTTGCGCCACATCAATATCTGATCTTGGAAACCCATCGAATGTGGTCAGGCTTGTTTGCATGGTGACTCCATGGCTATCTAGGACTGCGCCCAAGGCCTTGAGTTCTGCCTCAAGATTGTCCTTGCGTGCAATGAGTTGCTGTAAAGAGAGACCGTCAAACGACTCTGCCTGGTGGATCGAGGTAGGTCCACTTGGGACATGTATCTCGGCGAGGTTAGCGTCCATCGGAAGTCCCATGGTCATTCATCAAGTGTACAGGCAGATCAAGAGATGCGAGCCAGAGGCAAATGTTTGAGGAACAAACATGTTCAGCGCAGGCAACCTCTGAATGCGTGGGTGCAAAAGGAACAAATGTGAGCGGGGAAGGCGGTTTTTCCGATGTTTATCCGGTTCATTTGCCACAACCACCACCGCCGCCGCCGCCGCATGCACCGCCTTGCTTCAGATCCAGCTTGATCGATTAATTGCCTTGTAGGTTGAACTTCAGTCTTTGTTCTCTGTACGGCATCGTCATGCCGTGGCTCGATCATTCAATCCAACGGCTTTTGATGAGTGTGCTGTCTTCTTATCATAGCGACTAGTCTCCCGAGCGCAGATTTCCCCCTCTGATACCTCAAACGGCAGCTTGTTTTGATTACCTGTCATGTATTTGGTGGCTTCGGCGCCCATGTTTCACAGACAATTTCTTTTTGAGGCTGTCTCCTCTGGTCAAATCTAGGTGACGGGTGTCTAGGTAGGAAATGTATTCATCTTTTCCAGCTATAATCTGGACAAAATGTGTGAGACTCGTTCTATCACTACAGCCTTGCTCCTTCTCTATAAGTATCGCCAGACCTCACCTTCCCTTGTCCGCCAGATTGGAAACTGGTCGATTGGAAGCCTCTTCGCTTTCGGCCGTCTTCCAACTGTCACTGTTGACATGTCGTATCACTCAACTTTTGGGCACCCTCTCAAAGTTGGTCGTTTGGTCCCTCAAATGGGAATTTTGACCGTTGGCTCTCATTTTGTCTTCCATTGTTGAGATCCTATCTTTTTACGAGCTTAATTTATGTGCTATTGATAAAACCATGACGGCTCAGCTCTTGCCGTCCGTCATAACGAGTCCTTTCAGCAGACATCTCGATAACAGAGCGAACATCTTTTGTGGCTCGCGGACAGCATATTCTGCCCACCCACGGATCTCCTCAACTTCATTGAAACCGTTTTGCGTCAACCAGAATTTGGAAAGTTCCTCAGCGCCGGTTCAATCTGTTTCATCAGCTCCTGCGCAAGTAACAAAACCAGATCGCAATCTGCCGTGCCGCGAGAATCTCGTTCCGACATTATCTGATCGAATCCAGGGACCTTCGTCGAGTAACAGCCTCAGAATACGCTCCGAGTACCATGAATCATTGTCACTGGCCAAAGACCTAAGATCGCCCTTATTTCAGCCAACCCCTCCAGACGTGTGCGTCAGCACCGGCTCTGCCCATAGGTATCTTGCTAGTCCAAGTCAGGCTCGCGAACCGCTGGCAGAGGTACGCAATGAAGAGAAGCGCCCACGAAACTTGCAGCATGCCCCTGGCTCAAAGGGTCGAGGACACCACAGACTTCGCACGTCGCTGTCCACGGAAGTATGTTGGGCTGAACAGGAAAAATGTGAGGATCAGACTGCACTCCCAATCGAAGACACTCGAGACTGGTTCAGTGCTGTGGACGAGCCTCTCCAATCCGTCCTCGAGACATCACTCCTGGCAGATACCTCGGGAGACACGCCGAATCTAGGGCAGCACTCGAGCCTGCACCGAAAGAGAAATTCAACTGCTTCGTCGGGCTTCGTCCACACCATGAAAACGGCGAGTCTCAGCAACGCAAGCTTCAGCCTTGTTCCTCGGTCACTTCGTATCGGTCGTTCAACAGACAGTTATTATGTCTTCGGCTCAAGTGCGAGACCTTCAGTGGAAAGCGAACGACCGCAGACGTCAACATCTGTGGACGAGGCTGCCTTTCGAAGAGCCATTAAAAGGAGACAAATTCTTGTTGAGCTGGTCACCACTGAAGAGAGCTATGTTGCCGATCTAAAGGCTTTAATGTACCTATATTCGACTCTTCTGGCAACTAGCATGACGGTTACAGACCGGGTCAGATCATCCATCCTAAGAAATGTCCATGATCTTCTCTCCGTGCATGAGAGACTCCTGGAGCGGTTGCACCAGGCTACCTACGAGGCGGCAGCACGAAAGTGGGAAGACACGACCTCTCCCCGACGTCTCGGGTCACCACCTTATCACAAGCGCTGGAGGAGTCTGGAGTCGAGTGTTGCAGCCAAGCTCGGGCGCAGCCATCGTCGAACGCGCAGCTCGATGGACTCGGTCGAACTGTCACGCGGTCGGGCTCCCTTGGATGGAACAGAACCCAGGGATGTTGCTGACGTAGCAGCGATTTTTCGGGATTTCTTGGGTGACTTTCTGGTATACGAGGAATATTGTGCCAATCACAGCCTCATCGCTCACGAGTTACAACGGCATTCTCCCACACTTTGGTCAACTTATGAGTCAGGAATCGAATCACTAGCAAGGTCCATTACTGCTCTCAATCGGAAATACCAAAGCGAAAGAAAAGGCCTCACGGTTAGTGATCTTCTGATCAAGCCGATACAGCGCATGACAAAATACCCTCTCCTATTTGGCGATCTTTTGAAGCAAACACCCGTGGCGGACTGCCCAAGTGCACATTCCGAGGTTGAAGCAGTCTTGACGTGCTTGAGAGAAGTTGTTCAAACTGTCAATAGAGCCACGGATAACCACGAAACTCGAACTCAGATTCAACGACGATGGTCACTTCAGACAAGGCTGATCTGCGATCACGTATCTCTAGGGGCCGAGCAATTTCGGATGCTAGGGAATATCCAATTGAGTGGTGTTCTGCATGTGGTCTGGCAGGCTAGGAATAACAGAGTCGACGGTCGTTACGCGCTCTGCTTGTTGTTTGACACCAGTCTCATCATCGCGTTGCCTGCAGGAGCCACGACGAAATTTGAAGCGATCGCTTTCTTGCATCTGCGAGACACGAGAATTGAATCGGCCAGTGACGGTCGAGGTCTTCAATGCCACTCGACTCTTTACACGTGGAAACTATGTTTCGAGATTGGCGGCCACCTACACGAATTCGTACTGAGTGCCTGCTCTTCCATCGAGGAAGGTGTTTGGAGAGGGGGCCTACAAAACAAGGTTGCTCCAGGAAGGGGGACGGATGAAGTGTTGAACCAGATTCCCTCGAGCATCAGTCTCAGCCTCAGATCTCTCGGGCAGGTCTACATCCAGCAGAGTTCGACCTTGTCCAGGAACCCTTCAGTACAAAGAGCGGCCACAGTAGGAAACCGGGCCAATGTTTGCCAAGTTATCATTCGAAACACAAACAATCCACAGGACTTGCACGAATTTCGTCAACCGTCGTCTTCAGCCATCAACAGATCTCAGTCACATATGACGTCCAACAGGGTGGTTGTCCTAGCACCAAAACGGTCGGAGCGGGCAAGGCTCGAATCATCCCTGAGTGATGTTTGGACAAAGGAGAAATTGCCGTACCCAGGTATGATTGGCTCTCGGGGTGGTCAAATCATCAGAGCGTCGGCTGGTTCGTTGGTTCGAAAGTTGAGTCTGGCTTCCATCCATGCTCCGTTTTCGAGGCGGCCTGGAAGCTTGTCACTTACCAGCCGCAAGTCGTTCGACCTGTCAAACGAGAGCCGACGAAGCAGAATGAAGTATCCGGCACATGTCTTCGAAATTCGCAAAGAAAGTTTTGACGAGGTGACACCAGCGAGAACGAAGTCGCGTGAGATACCAGAGGTTGACACGATGGAGAATGTAGTCAGTCGAATGATAGGGAGCAGTGTCACCAGAAAGCTGTCTATATCCCCAGGACAACATGGCCCGGCAAAGGGAACAAGGAGACAAAAGGTTGTCCAGGATCCGGGAGGGCAGGAGGTAGGGCCAGAGGATCCAGCGGCGATATATTATGCTGAGGTCAAGGAGATTGAAGAAAAGCCAGAGTTTGTGGAGGAAGGGCTGACTGGCAGGAAGAAGCGATGGAGTAATCCACTTGGGATATTGAAAGTTCTGTCGGCCGATGGGTTTCGCCACATGTTGTATTCAAGTAAATAGTGTACACACGATTAACCATTGATGGCATGTATGGCATCATTAACTTGTATTCAATCACAGCACTATCTCAAGACGTCTGAGTTTACTATTCGGGCCAAAAGTAACGCCAACTAGTTCAAGAGATGTATGGTTTCTGGCTATCGTGCCTGTTTTGTTCTCACAAAGAGCGAGAAGAGTCGGGGTGAAAGTCGTTTAGGCGTGGAGAGACGTCGTCGCTGGTGTCTCGAAGAGTTTTTGTTTGGCTCGCCGAGTTGCTTCGACGACATCGTAGCCAAAGGCCCAGGGAATGACTTGGTCTGTGTTTTCTGTTGTCCCGTCAGTGACCGGTGACGGATCAGATCCGGTGAAGGATACGTGAGGGATATGGATGTGATTGGGATCCATGGAAAGCGGAGGGAATAGGGAAAGGAAAGGAGATGGGGGAGGCCTCGGTGGTAGGAAGAGACATGAGGATGTGGATATGAGGATAGGAAGATGGGAGAGAACGAGAGGAGGGAGGGAGGGAAGGAGGGAAGGAAAGTGGAGATGATGGTGAGGAAGATGGACGACAGATATAAGGGACGGACGGATGGGGTATGTATCGTCGATGCACAGCTGTGGGTATGGTATGGCATGGCAGAGATCTCTCTCTCTCCCTCCCCTTCCTTTTCTTCCTTTTGAGTTCGTGCGCGCGCGTGTGTGCTTGTATCTCACTTCTCATTTCTCATGACTCATGATGTGATGGTGTGCTTGTCTTTTGTGCATGTGCTTACTTACCAGGCAACTCGTCCTCCGGAAGCAGCTTCGCGGCCTCGCGTCGTCTTTCAAGCGTGGGGTCCTTGTTCGTCGCGACCTGCGAGTACAGCTGGGCGATTGAGGCGCGGGGGAGGCGGATGTGCTCAAAGGTTTCGAGGAGGGCGGAGATGGATACAGATACTGGTGCAGACATCGACTTCGGCACTGATGCCGCAGATGGGGTTGGGGTTGGGGTTGGGATTGGGATTGACTCACGATCTCGACCTGCGCGGAAGAGACCAAAGTCTTCAAAGAGAACGCCCAGCGCGGCGGCGTCCTCGATCGCGTTGATGGCCCCGAAGCCCCGGTGTGGGAGCATGGGGTGGCACGCGTCGCCGATCAAGACGAGCCTGTCGCGCTGGCACCTGGGTAGGGGGTCGCGTTCTGCACACCGCCACAGGGGCAGGATGGTGTTGTCGGTCTTGTCGCAGAGGCGGAGGAGCGTCGGGTGGAATCCCGCCATGGCGGCACGCAGGTCGTCAGGGCCACATTGCTGGGTCCACCCTCGGCGATTCTGCTGCTCCTCTTCGTCGTCGTCGACGTACATGTACATGCCAAAGTTCTGCAGCGTGTTGTCCCGACACGGGTACCGCACCAGCCACCGCTGGCGGTCTGCGTGCAGGTAGAACGAGCAGTGGCCGTCGCCGTACCGTCGTAGCAACGGCGCCGTGTGCGGGTCTTCAAGAATCTCGCGCGTCGGGATCAGGAAGCGGATGACCGTGCTGTCGGTCGCGTGCGCGGCACAGTCGACGTCGTGGCCTAGAACGTGCGACGCCGCCCGCGAGTGCACCCCATCGGCCGCCACGACCAGGTCAGCCGGGGGTTCCTAACTGTCTGTTTCTCCAGTGACCTTGACGCTACCCCTCCCCGCGTCGTACTCGACAACGGTGCACGACGTGTGCACCTCCGCCGGTCGACCGGGACCGTCGGGACCCGTCGCCATCGTCCGCAGCATGGCGTGCAGGTCGACGCGGTGCGCGAACAGGTACGGCGCCCCGTACACGCCAGCGAAGTCGGTGCGGTCCGTGGGCGCCAGCTCCTCGAGCGTCGTGGCGTCGATGAACGTCTGGCCCAGTCGGGGGATGAGCCTGGCCTGGGCTATTTTGGCGTCGTCCAGCCCCCATGACCGGAAGATCTTGACGGCGTGCGGTGCGAGCGTGATGGCGGCGCCGATTTCGTCGAGCAGTGGCGAGCGCTCCAGGATCTAGAAAGCGAGAACAGTAAATGGGTTGAGCAGCTTTGTTCCGTTTCAGCAGACTCGCGTCTCGGTCTCCTCCTCCTCCCCCTCCTCTTACACCTCCGCTTTGTATTTTCTTCCTCTCATATCGGGGACTAGCCAAAGAAAAAGGCGGGCAATTCCTTACATACCTTTACTCTATGCCCGGCTCGACGAAGGGCGATCGCCGTGCAGAGACCTGCGATTCCCGCGCCAACGACCAGCACAGATAGCTCCTTCGCCTGACATTCACTCGAGTTGTCCTCCATTCCTTTTTGGTCTCTGCTTTTCTTGTTCCTCGTGGACGCTGACGCTGACACTCGCACCGACAGGTCGCGCGCGGTATGTATTTATTCCAAGTGACATTCAATGGGGGAATAGGGGAACTCTTGATGGCAGTGCGCTGCTGTTCGACAGGGATCGACTTTTTCCTTGCTTGGTGTTATTCACTTACTCTGTATGCAGCGTGTGAGAGAAAGGGTGTTCCTTGAAGTCATCTCTGAACAAGGCCGTCAAGGCCGTCTACGCATCAAGAAGGCATGTGCCAGGTGCATGTGTAAGAGTCATCATACGCGAGCACGTACGTAGAAACACACCGCAGGAAGAAGGCCAAGGACAAAGGGCCAAAGCTGCGGTGCTGGCCTGATTGATAGACTGACTGATAAACTGACTTACAACTGGAACAAAACAACCGCGTGCATGTAAGCTCTAGGTACAATTCTCTTCTCTTGGCCTGTCTTGGTTTGTCTGCCGTTCTCGAGGGAGTGAGCGGACCAGAGTGTAGGAGGACCGAGTACCACCAGTCTGAGGAGTATCAGACTACAGCGACGGCCGATCAGCAGTACGGCTCGTCGGTGAAATGACACGCAAGATGGATCAGATCGAATCAAATCTGTTTCAAGGTTTTCAAGGTTTGTACGAACAAGTACACAAGACATCCAGTATTGCTTGTTTAGGGAGATGTTGATGCTTATTAATTCACGCGCTCCAAAACCCACACCTTGGCTGCTTGGTTAGAACCCAGTGGGGACAACTACTGCGCCACGAGACGAGTCACGAGTCCACGAGTCCACACGAGTCCCACGCGTCCACGACGGGAATATGGGTCCCCCATACTCGGTACCTAGGTGCAACAGACAATCATAATCGTCCTGAGATTATATACTTGTGCTTGTATTAACAAACCACGCGAGCGAGATCCTGTTGTTGTCGGTTTCTTTTGTTTTGTTTTGTTTTGGATAAGGGATGTGGTAGTGAGTAGTGAGTAAGTGACTGTCTCACCATGCCGTTCCTCCTACGAGTTAAGGGCGATTCCTTCAAAGGACGAATATAATCTCTCCTTCTACGGAGTACTTGTACCTCGCCAAGTTGAGAATCAGAGTGGCGTGCGGTTGGGCGGGCGAGTTCTCGAATGATCCTGCAAAATACCTACTTGGAGCAGGAGGATTCAAAACTAATGAATTACTCGGCAGTAGGGAGAGTGTCGGATAACTTGAGATTAATTCGATTGATTTTCCTGAGATTGATGATTGATTACATTGGGCCTGGCAACAAGTACTTGGTACCGAGTACGTATGTACGTATGTAGAACAAATCGGTTCGTTTTTTGCTAATACATCTTGAACGGGGAAACGAGGCCAAGACGACCTATATTCGTATTCTGTAGGTTCGTCTCGAAGACGAGGTAGTCGAAGGGGGAACCAAAAACCTCGTTCCTCACGATAGCCTCCACCGCCCTAAACTCTCAATGTTTGTTGACGAAATCGACGCTGGCGGTCGAGATGAAACACACATGAGGAAGCGTTTCCAAGGTCGTGCCCTGCCTCACAGGTGTTTGGCCTCGTGTCTTTGCCGTCCAGGTTTCCTTCCCTCGGCCAGCTTCATTTACAGAACCAATGCCAACCCAGCCATGGCGACAGCACCAATACCGGCAATCTTCCCGTTGACGTTAGGGGCGGCAGCGCCGGTGAATGCAGATGGGGCGGCGGAAGTCTTGGACGCCTCGACTGAAGTAGCTGGCGCAGAAGTCGTGGGCGCCACTGCGGTCGCGGTCGCTTGAGTGCTTGTCGTCGGCGCAGGGATCATGCTCGTAAAGTTGGACGCCACGCTGTAGCTCACGGCTGTCGGGATACCCCATGTCGAGGCACCGGAGCTATAAGTCGCTGTATAAGAGGTTGTGGATGTCCATTCGGACCAGGGAGCGTTGGAAGTAGAGACCTCGACGGGGGCAACAGTTGCATTCGCAGCGGCAGAGGTGCACGAGGTCCAGGTGCTGTGTCCGTTGGAGAACGTCCAGGTAAAGGCCCATCCGTCGGCCAGGGCGCCGAGGGCGAAGAGGGCAGGAACGGCGATGAAGGACTTCATGGTAGCGAACAGCTGAAATTCGAGAGAATGGCGATTGATTCGATTCGGTTGCAAGCAGAAGATAGGCACGAGTAGACGAGTGTACCGGAAGACGGCGAGCTTTTTACACGGAGAACAAACGAGTGACTGGTGTAAATGGTGGTAGTAGTGGTTGACAGACAAACAAACAAAAGGGAGGGCGAAGCATGAAACTATAACCGGGCGACAAAAACCTGATATAAAGGAGAAGCCACAAACCTTTGGGATCGGCGAGTCGAGAGCTAAGCTACAGAGCCTCGCACCACTCACCCATCTCTCATCGCGAGAGTTGGTGGTGTGGTGTTTGTTCCACCCCCCCAAAAAGTGGTCCTCGACAGGGGTCTCAGGAAATTGGTGTTGCAAACCCGTCGAACCGTCGACCAGACCAGCGCGCAATTTCAAGGAAGACGAGTTTTCGCACGGCCTGGATTTGCCGTGCGCAAGTTGTCTGGCACCGGCTGCGCAGCAAGCGTGAATTCCATGGGATGGCGTTGGACAACAACACAGTAGTAGTGGGAAGGTCTTTTCGTTGTCTGGGCATCATTTCATGCTTGCTCTTTACTGCTTGGTGGCGTCCCATTGATCAAGGTTGATCATCAGGGTTGAATCTGGCGCGGATCTGTCGCAACCCTCGCCAAGAGGTTTCAGCCACCAAGGAGGAAAGCCATCGAGGTGATAGGCGCGTCTTGGATCTGCGGATAGGAGAGCTTGACACGCTTGTTGCACGCTTAGACTGCCTTTGAATTGTGTAGTCTGCTGTCCCCCGACTCCTCGACAGAAGCACGCGAGGCTGCGGTCGTGTTTAGAAAGAGAAGGTTGATGTCTGACATTCCTGACAATGACGTGCTGAAATGAGCGGCGGCAGCTGACGAAAACATCCTTGTCATTATTTTGCCATGTGGGCGCAGTCACTCCAACAATACTCGGTACCATGCCGACATTGATCGACATGTCCACAACTCGACTTCTCCCAACTCTCACGATGCATTGATCGATTCCCTACGAGTACTTTACGGTTGCTCCAGCACCCGACACAGCCACTGGCTCGCTGAGGTCCATTCAAACCTACACTTGCTGCGGTCACGTCCTCCTGATGCCTTCCCCTACTTCTTCCTTCACCCTGACCCCTTTGATCTACCACCCCGTGCTATGCCCCGAACCTCCGTGCACCGAACGAAAGTTTACCTAGTCCTCAGCGCCGCTGAGCTTGAAGTCCTCCTCGTGCCATCGAACGGTTCCTCTTCCTTCCTCTGCAAGTCGTCACCATCCACATCAGGTGTAATTAGAAGGGACCAATATCTCCCAGGACATGTGACACGTGTACGCAGTATCAGAAGAATCGAAAAGAGACAAAAAAAATGAACATGACTGAGATCCAGTATCTATTACGAGAGTTTGGATAAAACACAGCGTGCTTGGAAAAGGAGAAGATTACTCCTGCTATCTGGTACGTCGGCCGACGGCGCGTTCTCAAAGACAGTGAGTAGTCAACCGTGACAGAGAGAGAACCAAGCGAGATCCTTCCTTGCCCCCCTGATTGTTCGTCCACACCAAGCCTGTACAGGATCGATTTGAATGCATCAAGATCCGAGATCCTCAAGATCCCTCAAGGCCGCCCCCATGAAGCGAAAAGCCAAGCAACCCTGAAGCACAGGCTAACTAAGCTATCTACATCGTTAATGCACGACATATTTTCCCCCAATAAGTGGCGTATCTGGGTGCGAAATGAACTCTCAACACAACTTGGGAGGCCTGAACGAGGCTGGCTGTACTGGTCTGGGTAGCACCGCCACTTCCGGTATAGATAGCTAGCCTGACCCCTTTTAGTCACTCAAAACGAGAACTGACAAGATACTTGATATTTTTCAGAGTAGTCCTTGAATTCAAACACAAAGCTGTGTTAACGTGACTTCTCATTTCCCGTATCGGGCATAATATCTACATTTGTTGGCATAATAGCCACTTTGACATCCAGACGGATCTGTTGACCATAACCAACGCCATTGTTCCGTATGGCGGCGGAACAACTCTTATTTATATAAAAATCCAGCACAGCTGTTTATTTTCCTCATACCCGACCAGGCTTTGCACCTCCTTTCTTCGGTACAGTCCAAGGTTCTGGACAGACAGTCTGAATTGTGATTATGTCAGCAAGATGCTCCTCGAGTGAACGGGGACTGAGTATCAACTTACCTCGCCTTCTGAGTAAGCCCAAAAGTATACAACCACGCCAACAATGTAGTATAATGCCGCATTGGTCGATTGATACATGATGGCTGCAGCCAGAGCTGCCAAGGGATACACCACCAATCTGGCTTCCATGCTCCTATGGAGACCCGGCAACAACTTGACGACCGGAGCGAGCGGCCATTCCCACGCGAGGCTCATGAAGGCCATGATGAGATTGATGATTTGTAAGACGGGAAAGGGTTTGACGGCTCCGTCGAGGTTCTTGGTGAGGAAGTCCCAGAAGATCTTGGGCCAGAAGAAGCCTTCGAGGCTGGCCAGGACTTGGTATGTGGCGGCAGTGAGGACGATAAGACGGGCCCAATGGTTCTTGATGAGTTTCCCCATGATGTCGCCGAGAAGTGAAGTGTGTGCTCAAGGAAATTTTGGTGAGGTTGTTTGGTTGGAAACAAAGAGTCGAATAACCAAAAGAATGGAAGTCGTTGTCTAAGCCAAAATGATCGAAAAGAATACGAGCACACAGAAAAGGACGACCTGCGCCTAGAGATCACCGCAGAAGCATCAGGGTTTGGCGAGGTATATGAGGAGACTTGGGACGGGCAAAGCTTGGTCAATGCTTTCCTCCCTTTTGGAAAGGGAGGAATAGGTGATTTCGGTGAGGGTTAAGCCGGTATCAGCAAGTGTTTGGCAGTGTCTGACC